CCCTACCCCCACGTAGCCTAACTGTGCCCCCTGCCCCCCTAGCCTAACTGTACCCCTGCTCCCCGCTACCCACAGTGCCCTCTGCTCCCCCACCTACCCACTGTGCCCCAGCTACCTACTGTGCCACTGCTCCCAAACTACACATTGTGCTCCTGCTTACCCACTGTGCCCCTTGCTTCCCCAGCTAGCACTACTGTGCCCTCTCTCCCCCTGCTACCTTCTGTGCCCCTGCTCCCCCCCTTCCCACTCTGCCTCTGCCCCCCAGTTACCCACTGTGCCCCTGCTCTCCTACCTACTACTACACTACCCCTGCTCACCCCCTGCTCCCCCACCCACCACTACACTACCTCTGCTCAACCACCTACCACCACTGTGTCCCTGCTCCCCAACCTACTAATACACTACCCTTGCTCCTCCACCTACCACCACTGTGCCACCTGGTCCCCCACCTACCACCAGTGTACCCCCTGCTCCACCAGCTACCACCACTGTCCCCCAGCTACCACTGTGTCCTTGCTTTCCCAGCTACCCACTGTGCCCCCTGCTCCCCCTGCTCCCCACCTACCACTACACTACCTATGCTCCCCCACCTACCACTACTGTGCCCCTGCTCCCCAACCTACCACCACTGTACCCCTTGCTCCACCAGCTACCACCACTGTGCCCCCAGCTACAACCACTGTGCCCCCTGCTCCCCCACCTACCACCACTGTGCCCCCTGCTCCCCCACCTACCAGTACACGACCTCTGCTCTTCATATCAGCACACATATCACACATCCAATACACACATGTCACACACAGTCAATACAACAATTACAAATATTACACACAGCAACACATAGCATTCATATCACACACAGCCATCACTCCTATCACAAACAGACACCACACACTACATCATATTATTATGAGATTTATTACAGCAGAGCTCTCTCATACAAAATGCAATATGTAGCTGTCCTCCGAGCTCCAGCCAATCAGAACGTTGCCACGGATTACTACAGGAAAGCTCTGACACTAAGTGCCTGAGCTCACAAGACAGTTACTTATGGTTTTGCACCCGGTGGAGACGCCGACCAGATTCCCAGCATACTGGATCACCAGAGTTCAGCATGCCCATCTCCCTGCAAGGTAATAACAGGGAAGGGGGAATTATTTTTGTTTTTGAATAATTATTAAATTAATAAATCCTATATACAAACACTACACACCTATTGACATACACTGTACATGGATAAAGGGGTATGAAGAGGGAGGGGGGCGCTGTAAAGATTTTTCGCACAGGGCGCCTTCAGGCCTAAGGCCGGCCCTGCTATTACTGCAAACTTTAGAGTTCTTATTGATAAAGGGGCATGCACTACAGTGACCGCATCGGTATGTGCCAATAGGTAAGTAGTTTTTAAGGGATCCTGAAATTGACAAGGAAGAGAGGTGACTAGGGACAAGTAAGTCCCTTAGATTCCTACCTCTACGGGCTGTAATAGAAGGATACGTTGTCACTACATCTTTAAGATGTTTATCTGTAGATATGATGGGCCAATATTTCTTAAAGATTCCCATCATTTTTTGCCACCCATCGTCAAAGGTTCCAATACATCTTATCAACTGTCCCTCCTGTTTAACAGAATTGTCATCAATAAGGGTTTGTCGTTCAGTTGAAAGAGCCCTCACGTATGCTCTCTTTAACACCCTATTAGGGTATCCTTTTTCCCTGAATGACAATCTCAATCTCAAAAAAAAAAAAAAAATGATGGGAATCTTTAAGAAATATTGGCCCATCATATCTACAGATAAACATCTTAAAGATGTAGTGACAACGTATCCTTCTATTACAGCCCGTAGAGGTAGGAATCTAAGGGACTTACTTGTCCCTAGTCACCTCTCTTCCTTGTCAATTTCAGGATCCCTTAAAAACTACTTACCTATTGGCACATACCGATGCGGTCACTGTAGTGCATGCCCCTTTATCAATAAGAACTCTAAAGTTTGCAGTAATAGTTCCAACTCAGAGACTTTTAATCTGCGCTCTTTCATCAATTGCCGCACTGCAGGGGTTATTTATCTACTTACCTGTTCATGTGGCCTTATGTATGTGGGGAAGACTTTTCGTCCCTTCAAATTTAGAATTAGGGAACATGTAAATTCAGTAAGGAGACGTCTTGAAACTCCCATATCAAGACATTTACATCTTCACCATAACCATTCTTCAGCGGGAATACGCTTTTTGGGACTTGAACATATCCCTCAGCCCCCACGAAAAGGTGGGTGGGATACCAAACTCCGTCAGAGGGAGGCGTTTTGGATTTTCAAACTTCAAACTTTATCACCACATGGTTTGAATGAGGGGGTTTTCATATACCCCTTTCATTTAATAATAAACAATTATCAGTAACTTTATATGGGTATTTAATAATTTTTTTGTTATTATGATCGTAATTATTAGTATTTATTATTAATTTTGAAGTCTTATTTATGTTTTGGTTAGTTAAGTGCCCATTACTATTTAGGGATCTTAAAGCTACTATATATATATCTCCCTATACATTTTTAAGTGATGCCACACTGGTCATTACTATTTTTGCAATTGTTTGGAATAAGGGACTCTATGTTATTCAGGTTACACCTGATACCTACTATGTAGTAGGATTTCACTCCTCATTCTATGGATGGTCAAGGGACAAATGTGAGCGTTATGCATTCCAGTGTGCCCATTCGAAAAATTAAAACATTTTGTGAGGTGGTTGTTTCCAATGAGACTCACCTTGTTTTACATAACTATACACCTAAGAGCCTTATATTTAGGCAGTAAGTGGCTAATTTGGATCATGATTTAATCATCCCTGGATGTATCTTTCAGGGATGACCATTGTGTTAATCCCCTTGCTGCACTGTACTATCCGGCGGCACTGGTCCCGCCTATCCAGTGATGTTTTTGTGACCTATTGGGCTGTGGATGAGGGGGGCGTGGTATGGAAACGGTGCCCGCCCCTTCACTGCCCGTGTAACACAGCGCTTGACATCATGGCCACGTGGGGTATGCGGACGTAGGGCCCGCCCCCTTCCCCACCCACATGACGTGTTGACGTCACGGAGAGCATGTGGAAGGAGGCCGGGCTACAGTAGGACCACGAGCATATGATTGAGAGGCGGGCTTCATTGGGACCAATGAAATGTGAGTCTTCAGCCTCTGACGAATCAGCTGTTAACAATGCCCAATTATGTTTTGGACATTTAAAGAAGCGGGAGAGACCGGTAGCTTTTGTACTTGCCCCTGACGACGGCGTCTTGATACGCTGAAACGCGCGTCGGGCTTTTTTCTACTTTATTATTTTTTTAACCATGCACATGGGGTGTAGGGGTTAGCACTTAATTTAGTTTTTCACCTTTTTTAGTCCCTCCATAGGACTAGTTATGCTAGTTGGCATTAGATCTATGTTATGCTGGAGCATTAGGGATTCTATTTAGGTAGCATTTAGCTGTGAACATTTAGAGAGTTTCTAGGTGATTTAGGACTGAGTAGTGTAGAATGGAGCGAATATATGCTTTCTAGATACCTACTATTAGTCTTTACTAGATCTCTCTATCTAATTTTAAACAGACTATGTCTACCTACAGTTCTATCCGCCTATTGCTATTTTAGCTTTTTTCATAGATATTTTCTACCTTCTACATCTATGTACCTAGTGGATAGGAGACTAAGGCTTTTATCTTTAATAAATTACGATACTATTTTATCATAAATATATGTTTATAGGGTTGTACAGCTCTTTCCCGGCACAATATCAAGTTGGATATCTGTGCTGGTGAATTAGTGTCTTTTTCCTAGGCTCACATAACTATCCCCAAACCCCAGTGTCCCATAGGAAGATCTCCCGAGAAGTGTGTGTGTGTGTGTGTGTGTGTGTGTGTGTGTGTGTGTGTGTGTGTGTGTGTGTGTGTGTATACATACATACATACACACACACACACCCCCATGTAACGAAATCCCCTATTCACAGCCGTCACGAACAAGCCTGTTCGGTTATTTGGAACATTACAATAGGATTTCGTGAAATTGTCAAATAAGGCGAACAAACTACCGAACCACCGACCTTGTGGCGCTCATTGACCCCCCTGACTGTTGCGGTTAACCACAAACTAATTGGTATAGCGGGTGGTCCACGTTCACCTCCCGAACACGTGGCAATCGCCATTTTGGTTTTGTCGAACGCGCAGCGGCAAATGGCGAGGATTCCCTGGAACTGATTTCAGCGACCTATTTTGTCGAACGCCGCTGCTACCTTCACCCATCCTCGTTCATACGGTGGAACCATTCGAAGGAAGGGATAATATTTCATTCGCGCATTAAAGTATGCGAACGTGACTGACCCCAGATAGCTATAATAAAGGACTGGCAATCGGTTACAAATACACGAATGGCCCAGGACAGCCAAACTTCAGTCGACGATTCTGGGACCTGTGTTCGTGGGATCTGAGCGCTATTCGCCTAGAATATGCACTCAGATCCAAGCTATCTGGGGATGTGTGGAACGTAAAGTTTATGTTATATAAAAAGAAAGTTATGTATTTTTATTCTGTTTTGCTAAATATAAAAAAGCATGTTTCTTTACTTCTGGAGATAATTACAGCTCTCTTTGCTACCTTAATCTAATTATCTCCAGGATGGGAAAGAGGGAGTGATTTGTGTAACGGGGAGTGTTTATCCTATAGCCACTGTGATTGGCTACTGTGTTACTTCTGTCCCAGTCTTCCATCTGGTCCCCTAGGGGAGTGTCCACCAGGTGGAAGACCTGCATAAATACCGGGCGGGTAGCCCACAGTAAATCAGATCGTTTTTACCCCTTCATGAAGTCTCGACTCATGTTTGGGGAATTGGAAGCTATAATCACTCGGTTTCAGCGGGATTTCGGGAGAAGCTGCAAGGATCATCGCTGCACGTATGCAGGGATCCTTTACACTGGTGGCAAGCGGCGGGATTTCCTCCCGAACGGACGTAACGAATTGAAACAAGCAGTGAATGGCGCATAGATACGAACGGTTGAAACGAACTACACTGAAAGAACTGCTGGAAGCTCGAGGCATAGTGGCAAGCAACAAACCGAAAGCCACGTTAATAGCCGAACTACTGGAGAGCGATCAAACCGGCGAACCACAAATGGCGAATACAGAGGAATCTGAGTTCCAGAGGGATGTGAGATGGAGACTCAGCCTGGTAGGACCTAACCCGGCACCAGAGATCGTGGTACAGATCTTGGCACAAGCTACAGAGTCCCAAAACGCCAGGGAGGCACGAGAAGCCAGAGACAGATCACCTCCAGTGGATATAATGTCGCTATCTGGATCTACAATGGGGCGTCAGCGGAAAATTAACTACGCTGCATTTAAAAGCTTCGTGGAAGGTGAGATGGATATTGATAACTACTTGCAAGATTTTGAAAGGCAATGTGTATTAGAAAATTTGGAAAGAGCTAACTGGGCTGCAGTAATAGGTAGCAAATTATCAGGAAGAGCAGCCGAAGCGTTGAGAGCTGTGCCGGATGGGGATATAGAAAACTATGACAAGATAAAAGAGATTTTGTTAGCCCGGTATGCGGTAACTCCTGAAGCCCATAGAAGGAAATTCAGAGCCCTCAGAAGACAAGGCAAGGATTCATATACAGAGTGGGCATTTCGTATGCAACGCGCTGCCAATAATTGGATGCAGGGGAATCAGGCAACTACTCTAGAGGATGCTGTACAATTATTACTGGAACAATTTTTTGATTATACATCAGCGGAGGTGAGAGACTGGGTCAGAGACAGAAAGCCAAAAACGGTGGAAGAGGCAGCAAGGCTGGCAGACGAATTTCATGAGAGCCGGCGGATGGATGGCAACCGAGGGGTCCAGAGCCAGCGGCCTGCCTCTGCCCCGCCAACTATGTCCCAGAGGGTACCACCACCAGGGGGCAATACCACAACCCCGGGGTACCAAAAGACCGCTCCAATGTGTTATGGGTGCAAACAAGTGGGGCACATCAAACCTAATTACCCACAACGCACTACAGACCGCTGGGGGCGGGCACCGATACCACCAACAAAAGCAGCTGCCCACTGTGTGCAGGAAGATTACAACCCTCTGACTCAAGAGACACCCAGTAGCAATAGTGAAAATTGGGCCACCTTGCATGAGGTGAACCCTGTCCAAGCGGCTGGGGATAACAGGGCGCATCATCGCCAGTCGGTCAAGCTCAATGGGCAAGAGGCTCGGGGACTAAGAGACAGTGGAGCTACGATTACCTTGGTTCAGCCACACCGAGTCACCCCGACCCAGCACACCGGACGCACCATTGCTGTAAGGGTGGCCGGAGGGGCAATTCACAAGTTACCAACAGCCCGGGTTCATATTGATTGGGGTACAGGGGCCAAGGCCGTGGAAGTGGGCATCATGCCGGATTTACCCGCGGAAGTATTACTGGGAAATGATCTGGGATGCCTGACGTCCCAATTGGCAGCCTACAGTACCGAAGGAGCACTACCTGTTACCACCCGGCAGCAATCCAGAGCTATGGAAGCCTCCCCCTCAACCCATGACCAGGTAAGCAATAACCCTCTGACGATTCCCCCTGACCACACTTCTTACTGGGGTACCCCTCAAGACTTTGAGCAAGCCCAACGGGAAGATCCCACCTTAAAAGGATATCGGAGGGAGGCAGAACAACCCCAGGGAGACGGAGATCAGGCCAGGTTTAGCTGGGAAAAGGGCTTACTGTACCGAGTGACTGGGGGAACAGGGACAGGAGCGGGCCAGGTAGAGAAATGACAGTTAATAGTACCCCGCAAGTATCGAGTAGAACTGTTACGGATTAGCCACGATATTCCCCTAGCAGGTCACTTGGGCATTAAAAAGACGAGAGACAGACTCACCCAGTCCTTTTTTTGGCCAGGAGTCACTAGAGATTTGCAGGATTATTGCAGGACCTGCGAAGTATGTCAAAAGGTAGGGAAGAGAGGGGATCACCCCAGGGCAAAACTACGTCCCCTACCCATTATTGAGGAACCATTTTTCCGAGTGGCAGTCGATTTAGTCGGGCCACTCAGTAAACCCAGTCCATCCGGTAAGAAATATATTCTTACTGTGGTGGACTACGCTACCCGCTACCCCGAAGCTATAGCCCTGTCAAATATACATGCAGAGACGGTAGCGGAAGCCCTAGTTCAGGTATTCACTAGGGTGGGATTCCCTAGAGAGATAGTGTCAGATCAGGGAACCCAATTCACCGCGGTCGTTACCCAGCAACTCTGGCAGAGCTGTGGGGTAAAACCCATATTAAGTTCTCCCTATCACCCCCAAACCAACGGCCTCTGCGAACGCTTTAATGGCACCCTTAAGCAAATGCTCATCACGTTCACAGAGACCTGTAGGAATTGGGAAAAGTTCCTCCCTCATTTGCTCTTTGCCTATAGGGAAGTTCCCCAGGAGTCCACCGGATTCTCCCCGTTCGAGCTATTATACGGGAGACGGGTCCGGGGACCCCTGGATCTGGTACGGGAACATTGGGAAGGTGATATAGAACAAGCAGGTACCCCTATAGTCTCCTTTGTTTTAGAGTTGAGGGACCGGCTGCAGGCGCTGACCGAAACAGTTCGGGAGAACCTGCGAGCCGCCCAACAACGGCAGAAGTACTGGTATGACAAAGGAGCTAGGGACCGTATATTAGAAGTAGGACAGAAGGTCCTAGTGCTTAAACCCATCAAAACGGATAAGTTGCAAGCATCCTGGCAGGGCCCCTACACAGTAATAGAGCAGATCAGTGATACCACGTACATTGTGGCAGACTGTTCCAATGAAAGGATCCGGCGGTCCTTTCATATAAATATGCTTAAGCCATATCTGGAGAGACCAGAGGAGGTCTCCGCGGTATGCGCTCCAGCATATGAAGATAGCGAGAATATCCCCTTACCAGATATGCTCCCTCAGAAACCCGCAGGAGTGGACCAAGTACAGTTGGGTCCAGCATTAGGGCCCGAGGAACAAGCTCAGGCGTCCCAACTGCTAACGGAATTCGGGGGCATGTTTTCAGCAGCCCCAGGGTATACGACCCTGGCAGTCCACAGAGTGGAGACCCCAGGCCAGTTACCCCTGCGGCAGCAGCCTTACCGAATTCCAGAGGCAGTACGGGAAAGCATGTTGACAGAACTCCAGGACATGTTAGAACTGGGGGTCATAGAACCGTCCCAAAGCCCCTGGGCCTCCCCAGTTGTCCTAGTTCCTAAAAAAGACGGTACCACCAGGTTCTGCGTGGACTACCGCAAGTTAAACGATCGGACCGTTACCGATGCCTACCCCATGCCCAGAGTAGACGAGCTGCTAGACCGTATGACTGGGGGGAATTATTTGACCACTATTGATTTGTGCAAGGGATATTGGCAAATCCCTTTGGAACCTGAGGCCATTCCAAAATCGGCATTTGTCACCCCATTTGGCCTAGATCAGTTTAAGGTTATGCCATTTGGGATGAAGAATGCCCCAGCTACGTTTCAAAGGATGGCGGACCGGCTCCTAGAGGGATTTCAGGGCTTCGCTTGTGCTTACCTGGATGATATAGCTATCTTCAGTGGCACTTGGGAAGCCCACCTGGAGCACATCTCAGTAGTGCTCAACCGCATTCAGAATGCAGGGCTAACCTTGAAGCCTGAGAAATGTCACGTGGGCATGGCTGAAGTCCAATATTTAGGTCACCGGGTAGGGTCAGGGAAACAGAGACCAGAGCCCGCTAAGATTGAGGCCATTACCCAGTGGCCTCAACCCAGGACAAAAACCCAGGTCATGGCGTTCTTAGGCACCGCAGGTTATTACCGGAAATTTGTAGCAGAATACAGTGCCCTTGCCAAACCCTTGACAGACCTCACCAAAAAGTCCCTACCCCGACAAGTAATCTGGTCCCCTGAGTGTGAGGAGGCGTTCCAGAAACTCAAGGCTGCGTTAAGTGCATCTCCTGTGTTAGCGGCACCGGACCATACTAAAAGGTTTCTCGTCCACACAGATGCCTCAATGTTTGGACTGGGAGCAGTACTGAGCCAGGTGGGAGACGATGGCATGGATCACCCGGTAGCGTATCTGAGCAGAAAACTGTTACCCCGAGAAGTCAGCTATGCCACTGTGGAGAAAGAGTGTCTGGCACTAGTTTGGGCACTTAAGAAACTACAACCCTACCTGTATGGGCGCTCCTTCACAGTGCTGACGGACCACAACCCCTTAATTTGGCTTAACCGAGTAGCTGGTGACAACCCCAGGCTACTCAGATGGAGCTTGGCGCTACAACCCTACAACTTTACAATGCAGTATCGCCCCGGGAAACAGAATGCCAATGCTGATGGCCTGTCCCGACAAACTGAACTGGAAAAGTAATAATTTTTGTTGTTTGTTCTGCCTGGGCTACCGGACATCCCTTAGCCGACCCGTTAGGGTCTACGCAGGTAAGCCGTCCCATGGGACTAAGGGGGAGCTGTGTAACGAAATCCCCTATTCACAGCCGTCACGAACAAGCCTGTTCGGTTATTTGGAACATTACAATAGGATTTCGTGAAATTGTCAAATAAGGCGAACAAACTACCGAACCACCGACCTCCCACTGAGGTCGTGTGGCGCTCATTGACCCCCCTGACTGTTGCGGTTAACCACAAACTAATTGGTATAGCGGGTGGTCCACGTTCACCTCCCGAACACGTGGCAATCGCCATTTTGGTTTTGTCGAACGCGCAGCGGCAAATGGCGAGGATTCCCTGGAACTGATTTCAGCGACCTATTTTGTCGAACGTCCGCTGCTACCTTCACCCATCCTCGTTCATACGGTGGAACCATTCGAAGGAAGGGATAATATTTCATTCGCGCATTAAAGTATGCGAACGTGACTGACCCCAGATAGCTATAATAAAGGACTGGCAATCGGTTACAAATACACGAATGGCCCAGGACAGCCAAACTTCAGTCGACGATTCTGGGACCTGTGTTCGTGGGATCTGAGCGCTATTCGCCTAGAATATGCACTCAGATCCAAGCTATCTGGGGATGTGTGGAACGTAAAGTTTATGTTATATAAAAAGAAAGTTATGTATTTTTATTCTGTTTTGCTAAATATAAAAAAGCATGTTTCTTTACTTCTGGAGATAATTACAGCTCTCTTTGCTACCTTAATCTAATTATCTCCAGGATGGGAAAGAGGGAGTGATTTGTGTAACGGGGAGTGTTTATCCTATAGCCACTGTGATTGGCTACTGTGTTACTTCTGTCCCAGTCTTCCATCTGGTCCCCTAGGGGAGTGTCCACCAGGTGGAAGACCTGCATAAATACCGGGCGGGTAGCCCACAGTAAATCAGATCGTTTTACCCCTTCATGAAGTCTCGACTCATGTTTGGGGAATTGGAAGCTATAATCACTCGGTTTCAGCGGGATTTCGGGAGAAGCTGCAAGGATCATCGCTGCACGTATGTAGGGATCCTTTACAACACTATATATATATATATATATATATATATATATATATACACACATACACATACACACACACACATACACACACCACCCTGCCCCCCTTGCACCTAGGGCCCCCACTTCTACCCAGAACCCTGGGATACCCAGGCTGAGTTTGACAGGGAAGTAGGACTGGACCCGATGCTCCAGGGTTATAGGGAATTGGCAGCCTCTGGGCAGGTAGGGAAAGACGGGGCATGGTTCACCTGGGATAATGGGTTATAATACCGCATAGCGGAGATCAGGAAGGCAGGTACAGTTCCTACTACAACCAAGCAGTTGGTGGCTCCCAGGAAATATTGACAGGAGCTACTGAAGATAGCTCACAATATACCCCTGGCAGGGCATTTGGGAATGAGCCAGATGAAACATTGGATCACCAAAAGCTTTTTCTGGCCGGGTATCTCCAAGGATCTGAGGCAGTACTGCCAGATCTGCAATGTCTGCCAGAGAGTAGGGAAGAGGAGCGACCGGCACAATGCCCCCTACCAGTCATTGAGGATCCTTTCGGCAGGGTAGCGGTCAATATCATAGGTCCCCTGGCCATGCCTAGTCCCTTCGGGAAGAAGTACATTCTGACCGTTGTGGACTATGCCACTTATTACCTTGAGGCGGTCGCCCTGAGCAACATTCAGGCAGAGACTATGGCCGAAGCCCTGATAAGGGTGTTCTCCCGGATGGGTTTTTCCCAGGAGATCATCTCAGATCAGAGACAATGCTTGAAGGTGGCCTGGCAGGGCCCTACAGGGTAGTGGAACAAATGTGTGACACTACTTACATGATAGGCCCATGCTACGATACCAGAGTCCGACACCTGTTGCATGTTAACATGCTAAAGTCCTACCACCAGCAGACAGAGGATGTAGCTGTTATATGCAACCCAGCCTTGGAAGATTACAAAAATCTTCCCCTGCCCGATCCCCTGGAGGAGGTCCACTTAATGGACCAGCTAACCCAAGAGGAACGCTGCCAGGCACAGCGGATGCTGGAGGCTAAGCGGGAAACGTTCTCCAATCTCCCTGGGGTGACCGCTCTAGCCACCTACAAGGGGAGACCCCAGGCCAGTAACCAGGGCCAGATTAAGAGCCCAGTGGGCCTGGTGCTGACAATTATGAGGGGCCTAATTACAGAATCATATTGACCAAAAACAGTAAAACACTCCCAAGCATCATGTATCTTATGGAGATGGAGATGGTGCTGGAGAGAAAGAAAACAGCAGCTATAAGAAAACACATACCCTAGGCTAATCTCTCTCTAATTTATGTTTTCATCTTTCAAGTAATCCATAACCCCTAACAGCAGTGTCCAGTCAAGCAGGAAGTCAATGGGCATGGTAAAAGGGTGTGCCATTGACACAAATCACGTAACCTGCCAAAAGGAGCGAACATGCCCAAAAAAAGGACATGTCTGCTCAAAGAATTAGAAGGCCACCCTGGCATGAATGCATGTCAGACTGCCTGCCAATCATGCAGCTAGCCAACTAAGGGCATACTATGCAGACAGCACCCTGAGCTTGGCATAAATGCATCTAATGATGCGCTCACTCAACGCTTTCTAAGGACTGTCCCCTCGCTGGTCCACTAGTCTCCTTACCTTCTTACTAGCAGGCAGAAGCTCCTGGTATATGGTCTGGGACAGAGAAAAGCTGTATGTTGTGAGTGTAGAAGAAAGGGAACATGCCACAGTGTTAGAGAGACCAAAGTCAGCATTACCTTAAAGGATCACTATAGGGTCAGGAACACAAACATGAATTCATGACCATATAGTGTTAACACCACCATCTAGCCCCCCTGGGCCCCTGATGCCTCCATAAATATAGCAAAATCCTACTATATTCAAGCCTGAAGCTGTAACTCTGCATGCTGTTAGGCTCATAAAAACAAGCAGTCTGCTGACATCATTAGAAGTGGTGGCCTGATCCAATCACAGTGTTTTCCCATAGGATTGGCTGAGACTGACAAAGAGGCAGATCAGGGTCAGAGCCAGCATGATTCAAACACAGCCCTGGCCAATCAGCATCTCCTTATATAGATTAATGTAATTAATGAATCTCTATGAGGAAAGTTCAGTGTCTGCATGCAGAGGGAGGAGATACTGAATGTTTGGATTCATTTTAGGCAGCCATGACCCAGGGAGGATCTCTAACAGTCATCTAAGGAGTGGCCAGTGAAGTTATCACTAGGCTGTAATGTAAACACTGCATTTTCTCTGAAAAGACAGTGTTTACAGCAAAAAGCCTGAAGGTAATGATTCTACTCACCAGAACAAATTCAATAAGCTGTAGTTGTTCTGGTGACTCTAGTGTCCCTTTAACTATATTCATTGTCAGCCAGTCCACACAAGTTTTGTTCCCATACATCCCTCTTAAGTTTCCATACTAAAGTAAGAGTATGTGAAAAGTAGTTAGGGTTGCCACCTTTCTTGGAAAAACATACCGGCCTGCTAATTTGCATAATTAAATATGTATGGGTGACATCACATGATGTAAATCACAAGGAGTGACATAAGAGAAAATGCTGTAAAATCACCAAAAAACTACTTAGTTTAAATCTGTTGTATAGATGGATTCCTCCCAGTGCCCCCATGTCTCCCAGTGCCCTCATGACTCAGTGCCCCCATGTGTCGATTACTCCAGGTCTCAGTGTTCCTATGTATCAGTGTCTCAGTGCCCCATGTCTCCCAGTGTCCCCTAATGTTGTGTCCCCAGGTCTCCCAGTGATCCTATGTATCAGTGTCTCAATGCCCCATGTCTCCCTGTGTCCCCATGTATCCCAGGGTCCCCATGTCACTAGGACACTAGGAAGACGGGGAGACCTGGGGACACGGGGAGACCTAGGGAGGAGACACCAGTGACACTGGGAGACTAAGGGGACACATGGGGACAATGGGAAAATAGGGGACACTTGAAGACATGAGGACACAGACACCAGGGACAAAGATACTAGAGACACTGACTGGGGGACATGGGGACATTGAGACATGGGGGCACTGGGAGACATGGGGACACTGAGACACCAGGGCCACAGACACTAGCTTGGGGGACATTGTGACACTTGAGGCACTGAGAGACATTGAGGCAATAGGAGACATGGGGATAGTGAGACACTGGGAGACTGTGGGCACTGGGAGACTGTGGGCACTGAGAGACTAGGGGGCACTGGGAGACTAGGGGGCACTGAGACACCAGGGACACTGGCTGGGAGACATGGGGACACTGTGTCCCCATGTGTCTGTGCCATAATGTCTCCCAATGTCCCTTAGTGTCTCAGTGTCTGCCATAATGTCTCCCAATGTCCCTTAGTGTATGTCTCCTTGCAGCCTTTTCCCCCATCCCGTACTTCCCTGAGCTGTAGGCTGTTTCTGCAGGGTGGGAGTTGCTGTCTGGACTCTCTGTAGCTGCACCCCTGCAGATCAGTGAGTATAGATAGGCAGGGAGGGATATGCTGGAACTTCCTATCCCTGCCTGTCTCCACATACAGCGACCCCTACTG